TTCATCGGTGGAAGGGCTTGTGAGGTGTAGCTTAGCGGGACCCCTTGACCTTTCGGGAGACCCTCTTTCGCTCCTACAAAGTTTCTTCGCGATTCCTAGACTTTCGGAAGCGAAATCTAAGTATTCACTGAGGCGCTGCTCATTGTAGCCCCCCTCTCTTTGAAGGCAGTGGGCACGATCGCTGAGGGCGGGTGGTTATGCCAAACGTCATTAGTCGAAACGATGAGTGGGGTGTGGCCAAATGCCCCTGTCGAAGCCCTTCCACCAATGATGCTGACAACAACCGCCCGCCTCCAGCAATCGTGCTCACTGCTTTCAACCTCTATCCGATGAAGACAAAACACACCAGACTTCTTTCATTCAATGAAAAAGCGAAAGTGTGGTTCCAGAGTCAATGCTGGTATTTTCACGCGCCTAGACGAACTTCAACTATATGGCCTACCACCTTGGGTTACAGTACCCCCTTGGTAATATTGAAATTAGGATATTGTGCCCGTTGCTTCGGGAACAGGGCACATCATCACTAGGAAAGTTCTTCAACCCCCTCCCACCCAGCACTCGCATAATCGACCTTGAAAATTCCCTCGAGAGGGTATGTTTGACCAGGAAGCAACGAAAACAAAAGATACCCCAAAATTCCACAATTCCAAGGACTCATGATGTGGCCTGCTCGAAAAACAGGATTAACAAGAGAGCTTATAGCCCATAAACTCAACAGCGTCACGAACCCATTGCGGAATTGGTTCTGTAGGGAAAGATTCCTTCAGGAATTTGTCCAGAAATTCCTGTACTTTACCGGTATCAATAGCATTTCGGACGTCTTCCATAAGACGAAGTTGATGTCTGATGTTGTGCACAGACAGAAGATGGCATCCTACCGTCTCCTAAAATTTCAAAATGGAACTTTCTTCGAACTTCAGACTGACTAGCGATGCAGTAATTCTAGTGATGAGCAATGAGTGTTGCCTATGAGGTTCCCGCACGATCTTTTTGCTTTCATTAAACCCAGCCACGTCACGTTTGGTACTAAAGCCGAATTCCAGTGACTATCTGGACCACAGGTAGCAGGGCACGTCTTCGCGTTGCGAATAATTTTCGCGGCGCTATTAGGCTTAGGAGGTGAACATGTTGCACTTCCCCTAGTTCCGAAAATCTTGAGTTTATAGTTAAATTACACGTTTCACCATGGTGAAACCTGTAGCCTCTTGTGAAGCGTTAACGAAGCTCATGTTGCTGCAAAGCTCAACAGAACTTGACAGGTCTCCACAGAAACCAGCAATGCCCCTCCGAAGCGAACTTCACCGTTCTCGCTAGATATGACCCTTCCCCCGCCGTTTGTTTCCATTTCCACAATGGGATGTGCCCTGATAGGGACCTTGTACCATGGGATGGCACTAGAAGAGGTGTACCAAAGATTAAGGCATAAATGATGGGTATGTAATGCGCTCTAAGTGAAATGTGTTCTACAGAGAACTGGATTCCTGTGGTGAAGCCTATGAGAATATTGGGCGCTCCTATTATAGTTCAGGGCAACCAGTGTCTCACCGCGCGCGACTACCACTAGGATTAGGGCATGTTGTGCACCAGGGAATTCTCTGCGGGGATCATTTTTGGTAATGTTTGGTAGTTTCAGCAAGTGCGGTCGCATTTGGCTCGAGAAATTTTTTATGCACCATATTTTGACACGCAAATACTCCTAGCCTGGGTGGAGGAAGGCAAACAAGTCTACCAGCTTTGAGTGTGCGTTTGTGAGGACCCAATAAAAACGACAATTCTCCATATTCGAGAGCATGAACGGTGGTCACTTGTGGATGATGTAAACGTCTTTGTACACAGGCTCGTGCCATTCCCCCGGCGGAATATCGGGGTTCTTCTGTAGGTGATTTACAGCTCGTGATATTCCAACACTCCAGCCATCCGGGTCGAGTCTCGGTTCTCTACGCTACCTGCTGGAACCCCCGAGCAAACCGATGATTTTGGGGATCATGCCCTCGGACACTGCAGGGTTGATTTGTGACCCCGTATTCGGCCCATAAGTTGACCTTATGTTAATTTAGCCAGTGATTTCAACCTTCAACCAAGCAATACTACAACAAGTGCTGATTTCGGGAGGAAATGAAGGCTCTATTGCTCGCGGAGGAGGCCTCGATCCCGGACTGGCATTTGTGGCATACGATTGGCCACTTGTTACTACACCAACGCGCCGCAAGATGTATTCCATATGAGTAAGAGAAACAGAATGTAGAGGCTGCGTACAGGCTGGGCAAAATAACGCTTGCGTGTTTCCGGAATAATCTATAAAATGAGCCGCACAGACCAGTCGCTACGCAGCCGCGCGATCAACTATAGTCTGGTTCACTGGGGTTGATGGGGCGTGTCCGCGCGGCTACATTTGGCCCATCACACACGCCCCATCATCCGCAGCGAACCACACTGAACCATGTGTTGCGGACACGATTCAAATCGTGAACTGGCTCCTACCTTATTCATTATCATATGGATATAGGCACGACTATAGGTCTGACATGTGTTGCAATCGCAGTCCTCTTCAATAGGTTTGAAATCTTCGGCGAACTGTTTCTGATTCAAGTGCATCAGACCACCTCGACGAACGAGAGCGGTGCCAAATCTGCAAGTGGTAAGGTTCTTGTTTATTCATGCGCCAGTAGAAATAGGGAGAGTGAACGTACCTTGCCGTCCTTGTTGGGTAAACACAATCGAACATATCGGCCCCTAATAGGGAGCAGATCACCAAGTCCACAGGGAAACCAACACCCATCACATAACGAGGCAGATGGCTTGGTAACGCCTCACAGCACGATGCTACCACCCGCCAAAACTGGGATTTCTCTTCTCCTCCTGACAAACCGCCGATTGCAATGCCAACCTGAAGCTTTCTAAAGTTGAAACTTTTCCAATATGCGCCCTCCTTAGCGACAATTTGTACGTGTTCGGGACAATGATAGTTGAAAGACAGCCAGCAGCAACCAGGCGTCTGATGTCTTCTAAGAGATGGTTTTTGGTGAGTTTGATTGACGGTAGTGAGGACACAGACGGGCATGAGAAGGGCCCACAGTGACCCACTTATGTTCAGGGCCTGCCGTTGGAGAAGATTTTTGCGAAAACGACCACCCCCTCAGGATTTTTCCCTCTGGTATGTCTCCCTCACCAAACATCGTACATATTATCTTCTTTTTTATATGTTGTCCCAAATCTCTACTACTTTTTCAGACCTTTCTTTTGAAAAAACCTTCATGTTTCCTCAAACATATGCCGTTGACCGGAGGGGAACAAGGAGGTGGAGTACGCAGTGCATGTAGGAAACCCAAGGAGAATAGATAACCGAAAACAGTTTTTACAAAGGCAAGTGCGACCCCCTCCCTCGAGCGAACCCCCGCTCGAGACCCCTCATTCGGGATCCCCAACGTACGCAGTGCCCTGGTTCTGCTGCATGCTGCTCTTCTAAACTACCTCCTACTTCACAATTGTTACTCCACTTAAATCACTTCTTAAGTGCAAGAGTTGAAAGGTTAGGGCTGCGTCGCATACTTTCGGAAAGAATGAAGAGAAATGAGAAGGAGTATTTTGACGTTTTTGCGCAGAACGCAGCCCCTTCCCCCCATCCCAAACAGCGGGCCAAATCAACCTAAGGTTCGTAATGGGCACATTGAGCTCCTCCAATCACTAATGAATACTTGTTCCGCTGAATGGATTGGATTTTCATGCTTCTAGTGTGTCAACAGCTGCAAATGACATCCGGAGAAGGAATGAGCGCAGTTTAAATTGCACTAATATGTGATGAAGGTAGTCAGTACACCACGAAAATCGCGATCCTACAGTCACTAATGAGAGCTCTAAAATATACTGTGATGGATACTTACGGAAGAACACAAACCTTAGCTCGCTTAGCCATTTCGTCAGTGCACTTCTTTCTCAATTCGAGATCCAGTCCACCTTGTATTATGGGAAAAAGAGTTTGATCCGATCGAGTGTGTGCCTTTTCGCAACGATCCAACCACCTTTACGGACCAGCGTATTTCATAAAATCAAAATAGTTTCAAATTTTTTGAAGTTCCTCTTCACCTGACACTCCTTTCCATTGCCTCCTTGACTATCTCTCCTGTTGTAAGAACATGAACAACGTGATCTAACTGCATCATGATATCGGCACCTAGAGCCTGTTAAATATTTTAACGACGAATAATCCGTGCAAGTCCGAAAATAACAGCCCGAACCTGCTGTATTTCAATACTCATCTCCGGCGTCAATGACATCATTTCGGCTGTGTGAGGGCTCTCAAAGTTGACACCGTTTTCGTCGACGGACATTAGTTTGCTTAGCGATACCATCTGGAATTGGGAAATTGAACGCAGATATGAGCTTTGCGGGATGAGCAGAACTTTTGTGGTACGGATTCACCTTGCACTCAGAATCGCAATGGCTTACTGAATGAGATGTGGCCTATACAGTAACTGAGTTAAAGAGGAGGAGCGACTGGCCTATGTACAAGTCAGGGCTTTTACCCATTCGGGCAAGTCAAGTTCTAATGCACCGGCCTCGGAA